CTCTCCCGCATCCGCAGCGTCATCAAGCAGCAGGGCGGCCCCACTAAGACCCACAAGCTGGAGAAGCTGATGATCCGCCTGGGCCTCTTCACAGTGCTCTACACTGTGCCAGCAGCCAGCGTGGTCGCCTGCCTCTTCTACGAGCAGCACAACCGGCCCCGCTGGGAGGCCACACACAACTGCCCCTGCCTCCGTGACCAGCAGCCTGATCAGGCCCGCCGCCCAGACTATGCTGTCTTCATGCTCAAGTACTTCATGTGCCTGGTGGTGGGCATCACCTCTGGCGTGTGGGTCTGGTCCGGCAAGACTCTCGAGTCCTGGAGGGCCCTCTGCACCCGCTGCTGCTGGGCCAGCAAAGGTGATGCTGTGGCAGGGGGCACAGGGGCAGGCACAGGCGTGCAGGCCGCAATTGCCGCAGCAGGAGGACTTGGGGCCGGAGGCGGTGGCTCTCTCTATAGCGACGTCAGCACCGGTCTAACGTGGAGGTCGGGCACTGCCAGCTCTGTCTCCTACCCCAAGCAGATGCCCCTGTCTCAAGTGTGAGGAGGAGGAAAGAGGCCAAAGGTTAGGGAATGAGGGACACTGGCCTGCCTGAAATGCCCCCTCACTGTTTGGTGCCATTAATGAACCCCTAATGGTCCCTATTAGCCACAGCTTGTATAGAACAATGCAGCTGGCAGAGGCCCCAGGCTCCAGCCCCCTCCTCCTTCCCCGCCATTCAAGTGCAGGGAGCATGTACTTCAAGGAGCCAGCTTATTATTTTGCTGGCAGAGGAGGGTAGAGGCTCACCCGTGTCTTGCAGAGGGCAAGGCAAAGCAGCTTCTGATTCACTCTGGACTAACAGCAACTCTTCAGTCATGGTAGGGAAGGTCTTCCTCCCTCCCATGGTGAGGCAGGAGTGCTGGGACTGCAGGTTTTTGGGATGTTAATGACCGGGCAAATGCCTTATTATACAGACTGAATCAAAACATGTCTTAATTATCCACCCCAGATAAATACGGGTTTCCTACATTAAAGGATGTATTTATATAATTATTTGTTACCTTGTACAGATGTGTAAAATATGTATATATCCAAAGCTATACAGTCTGTAAATTTTTTTGTAAAAAAGTTTAGAGGCTACCCCTGTAAGAGCAAATATGAGTATTCTATTTTGTCAATAAAATGACTTTTGATAATTGACTTTCTCAGGCTTTCCCCTCCTCCTGCCCTGACTATTGCAGCTGCTGTGTCGATAGTTGGTTCTAATGCTGAGAGATACAAACTATGAACTACGTTCATGTTCCAGTCACTAAGAGATAGCCAGCTACGTTACAGTAGTGAGATTTGTAGACATAAGGAAAAGAAGTCTTCAGCAAGTCATTCTGGAAAAGTTGCCAAAACTGGGAGGTGCCTTACCCATAGCTCTCTGCTCCATGCATTTTCAATGACGACAGTGTCTTTCAACTGAACCTGTACAAAAGAGTCATCTCACACAGGTTGTTAGGTATGCCTTTTAAAATGAACGTTATTTCAGGAGCGTGAGCACACTTCTCCTGTCTGTTGTCCGTGCTTTTGTAAGCACCTGCCTTTCCAGGGATGCATACTGCTGAAGTGTAAAAGGCTCATGTTTTAAATTTATAGATTTATATTTTACAGCAGAGCAGTGAATTGAAATTTGTTAGAGCAGTCTCTCCTTAACAGATTAAACTAACATCTTAACCTTTCATACTTAACTTTTGTATATCAAATATGGTCCTTTTTTCAAGAGAAAAGGTATTGTTCTTCTGTCAGGACTAAGCTAATTTATTTGAGCAGAAGGCTGTTGAATTAACAGAAGAATGCTTTGGCAATTGTTGAACTTTTTACCTGTCTGCCCAGTGGCTCAGAACATCATTCCTTTAAGAGGAGCTAAATGAATAGGGTTAATCTGTAGGGAACTTGGTTTCTTTTGAGTTTGGGAAAACTTTGATCTTTTCTCTTCACCAAACGTGATGTATAGTCTGAAGTTTCTTTCCCTGCTGCCTGGGTCCTCTTGTTGCAGACCAATTGGCCACCATGGAGCCTTAAAGTTCTTCAATTAAAGGGACGTGGGACTTTTTTTTTATTTTAAGAGGAAGACTTGTAACAGTTAGTGAACACCAGAGGGAAAAGGGAGAACAGCCTTTTAAACAGCTTTTCCCTGCATTGTTAGCCAGACTGCAGGCAGCAAGGCATGGCTTGAAGCATTATAGAAAAGAGCTATGAATGCCCTACAGGTGGTCTGCTCACATAATCTCCCCAATTTAAAACATTTTCCTTTACAGGACAATTGCATTACAAAACTCCCTTCTCTTTTGCTCCTAATTGAACCAAAGAACAACTACAAGATTTTCTTTAAAAAACTCTGTGCCTAAAAAAATCCATTAACTAAATTCTAGTCTGTTTTCTGAACTGGGATTACTCAGAATACCAGAAGTAAAACCTGCATTAGACGTTAACTTGATTCCAGATATTTTTTTATGCCTTCTGCTTATACTCTGTCAAATTAGCAATAATTTAAAAGCAATTGGTTGGGTTGTGTGTTAGCCGTGAAAAGATAGCCCCGGGTCCCTTATTAACCTGTCAATCACGATAAGAGATGGGCAGCTACCCTACTAATGACACAGATATCAATCATTATTTGTGGGAAAAACTTTGTTCTATTGAGCACTGACTTGATTATTGGTGTCCCTTTCCAAGTTCCCATAACTTAATAGATTCCACTTTTACAAAGTTACCAGGATCATAAAAGGAGGAATTGAAAATGCTGATCTCTTCAGCTCTTAGGAGGGAAAAATATTTTAACTTGTCACGTGTGAGGTATGTTCCACCGAGATGTATGCTTGGTGCTTATTTATATACCATTTGACCGGAATTACAATATTGACATATGTATAAACTGATCAGGCCTATTCTGGACTAATGTTTTTTTAACAGTGTAACTTACCTAAAGGAAAACGTTTCCAACAATGCAGTTTTTGCAATATTTAAATCAATGTGACAATTTTCATTGCCGCCTGTGGTTTTAAGGTAGAAGTGTTTTTCCTGCTAGGGAAGTACTACATAGGGAAGCACAATCACTCTCCAGATAAAATCTGTGTTCCTTCCCCTCCAGCGGATTCTAGCAAGGAAGGAAAACAAAACAAAACAAAAAACAAAAAACACCCCACACCCCGAGCCAAAACTACTCTGTGAGAATTTGTTTAGATAGGTCTCTTGCAGGCTGCTGGTACAGATTGCTAAAAGCATTTTTAATAAAAAGATAGGAAGCAGTTCTGTGGCTTAACTTATCCAGGAATCAGCTACGAGGTGCTGCAGGTGAACTTGATCAGAAAAGCTGTCTCAGAACTGATTAGTTTAGCAAGCACTTGGAAGTGACTGAGCAATAGTGTGGGGATTAAACAAGGATTAGACAAAATTGAAATCACTGGAAACCCAAAACTTGGGAAACTACTGGAGAAATTAATTTGCAAGTACAGATTTTTGTCTCATCAGCATCAAACTTGTGTCAAAAAAAAAAAAAAAGCAGGGCACTTAAGTACAAGAAATGTAAATCCATAGTTACACCGAACTTCACTTTTTCACATTATTATGATGCACTTTATCAGACTTTAAAGACAGATGTTCTATGATGATTTCCCCCCCTCCACCCCCAAATGATGAGGTGGTAAAGTTACCAGAAAACCACTGCTGTGAAAGCAATCCCAGCAGATGGGGACAGACGGACTGAGCGTGGCGCTGTGCAGCCCCACGCAGGAGCAGGCCTGCCGTGGCCAGGGGCAGCATCGCACCCCTGGCAGCTGCACTGCGCTGGCTCACAAGAGATCTAGGGGAAATCTCTACCATCTTATGTGGCTCCACAGCACACCTTGTAGAGCAATATTTTGAAAGCTAGATACAAAACTGCTAACAGCCTCCTAAGGCTAATAGAAAGGTCTAATTGCTCCATTTGGGACGGTGACTAAGCTAGCAGGGAAACACAGGCTGGGATTTTTTCTTCTCTCCTAACTAGCATACCTTTACAGTGGTCCTTCTTTCTGGGACCCTTTCCTGCTTCACGTGTTCCTGCTTCAAAAGGAAATCCCATGCACTACTCTTCTCCTGCTTTAATGACTGAATAATCCTGCAGCCTCCTAAGGAGCCAGCCCAGCTGCCTGTGGGCTTTCTAAAATGAGGCAGAGCAGCCCAGGTGTGCTAAAGGCACTCAGGAGTGACGCTACCCCTGGGCCCTAGTGCTGTTCGCCTTGGAGGTGCACAGAAGTGTCCTGCAACCTGCTGTTGTGCTCGGCACTGCATGAAGCTTTGATAATTATGATTATCGTGGGAAGAAAGGGAATTTGGATGGGGCGGAGTTGGGAAATTCTTCTACCTTGAAATAATGTGAACATAGCCAGACGTTCTGGGAAACTTTTTATAGATCCTGCAATAAAAGACATATGAAGGCTAAGATTTGTACACAAGGAGTTTTTCTTTTTCTTACACAGTATTTGAAAATCAAAGTATTGTGGTGCTCCCCTCGTAAAGAGTTTTTCCAATGTGCCTTCCTAAGAAGGCCGCACAGATGTAGGTAAGTAACACTGAGGCAGGGGGGCAATTTCACACTTCAGCGAAGCTTGAGAGCCCGGGTTCAGACGCTTAGCTAGACACCTGAAGCTGACGTGTAGGAAAATCAACAACAGTTTTCCACAAGAGGAAATCAGTATTGAAAGCCAAAGCAGAATGCCCACATTTGGAAAGGAATCTGCAGCCACGACGGGAATACCAGAGTTCTTGGGTGAAATCCAGGCCCACTTTGAAGTAAGTGTCAAAACTTCAATACAGGCAAGATATCACTGACTCCAGTACCCGTGTTCAACATCATGATTTTTTTCGCAAACACTATGCGAGCTGCAAAGCCAAGGCTAGCCTGCATAGTAAGTTAACCCCCTTGACCAATAAAGACATGGAACTCCTGGTAGGATACACAAACTGCCTAACGTGGGGGGAAAGCGCAATGGTGAACAAACGTTCAAAAAAGACAAAAGAAAGATGATCCTGGAGTGAAAGCTCACCTAGATTCAAGATCATGCTGGAGGAAAGTTCAACAAGGCCCAGTCAAACCAGCTTTTGGAATCAAAACCAGTTTCTGAAGCATCTGCTGCAACGTGCCCAGAGCATGCCCTGCTGCTGCCCCCCTTGCAGGTGTTGCACAGCCTGCATTTCTCAGGGCACACACTTTCTTGCCCTGTGTCCGGCCCAGAAACCCTGTGTTCCCAGCAGGAAGCAAGGGGGGAACGGTCCCTTTCCATTCCCCATCCTGACCACACTCCCTCTCTTTCTGCCCTGCACACCAAAACTGGGTGGTATTGAAAAGATAGCACACTTCTGCCTAGAATTAAAGAGGTTTGGCAACAATGGCCACCCTGAAAGGGACAGGATGATCCTTAGAAGAATAAGAATAAAGTGACTTACAGAAGATGGTCCAAGGAAGAAATATTAAACAGGGCAGACTATCTGCATATGGTCATGATTTTCTAGGCAATCTTCAAGAGAACTCAACTACAAATGTTCAGACAGCTCTATTTATTTAAGCTTTTATAAACGCCCATCATTACGGTAATCAAGTATCTGAATTTCACTAGTTCAGCAGAAAGGATCACACATCATAAATGCTACGGTACTACGGAAATAACTAACGTCTGGTATTAAAATGTGGAGCCATAATCTAGGGTGACTAAAGATAGTCAAATCACTTCAGAAACGAGTACCTCAGCTCAAATGCTGAATCAAGTTTTTTGAAGGCTGAGATAACACTTGTTCACTCCTGCAAGTCTCTTACCTAGGATCTGAGAAAGCCTTACATTCACTAGTGAATTAATAGTCAAATTTCTTCTTGGGAGACAAAAATCACAGTAACACCAGACTCAAAACTTATGTGATGAGTCTAGAAAAGGATCCTGGTTTTCCTCGCTTTCTGCTCTGTAATTCCAAGAATCCTCCATTTTACAAGCACGTCTTTGCACACACGTGCCCTCCCCATCCGTTCCCCTCAACAGACACACGCATGCTGAGCAGTCGTACCCCCCCATCCCTGGAGTATATGCAGTTTCCCGGACACAGCACCAAGTCTATCACTGGTTTTCAGTAAAGCTGGCACCCTCAGCCAGCAATCCCACCCCTGCCTTTGCAATTCATGAAGAACC